AGGCATCCTTGCACTGGTTTTTCCTCCTTTCCATGTACATGCTTCCAGTCCAGTACTCCCACTCCCTGGGATCAGATCACCAAATAAATTGCCTGTATGCAAGCCCTTGTCTCAGGCTCAGTTTTCAGAGGAATGCAGAGTTAAGTCAGATTCCTACAAGGGTCTTGTATAAGCAGGTTCCATAAGAACTGTCTAATCCACCTACATATATTTGCCAGGCTGTATTATTTCTAAGATAGTAATTAAGTTGGAGACTGTCTCTAAACCAAAAGTAAGTAGTTCAGGACTAGCCTATGTTCCATTAACTGGAACAGTAGCAACCAAAGTTGCTCCTGCCCTTAATGAGAAAAGCTACTACTGAGATAGGTGCAGGCTCCAATCTCCCTCTCCTCTCCTGAAGAACCAAGAGCCTCAGGGACAAAGAGACCCTCACTCAGAAAATACAGTTCCCTAAGAGATTTTGTGATGAGAGTTTAGGATGAAGGGCCTCCAAAAGAGGGAAGAAAAATCAACAGATGAACAATAAAATGCCAATGAGTTTCATTCAAATGCAGAGGAAAATCAGAAAGTGATAATGATAGTTGGTAAATGAAATGACATGTGGATAACTGAAAGGGATAAAGTGAGTAGAAGGTTGGCTGGGAAGTGTTTTAGGTTGAGTAGATTAGAGAGGTGGGAGTTAGTAGTTCAGAGGGCAGGAGTTATGAAGCAACCACAAAATGCTTGTCACGTATTTTTCAAGGTAACCTTTTCTGATTGTTAAAATATGGAGAAAATCACTGCAAGCTTGTTCACAGAACACTTGGAAATGAAATCTGCCCTCCTGAAAAGCATTCATTGGAAGTTTTCAGAACAGCACCAAAAAATTTTAATTCAGGCAATAGATAGAAATGGATAGTTCTTTTGTGACTAACATTCTCCCTTATGAAATGTGTTAACTACTTAGGTTTTGCATTTCCTGATGTATAGACAAATTCATGAAGTCTTCATGAATTTAGATGTCAGCTAATTTCATTTTATTAAAAATGGATTCTATAAATACTGAGTGCAAGAATTAGAGACACAAAAGGAGGAGGGTTGGCTGCTTCTGGGCAGTATCTGTTGAGGACCCAATGACTGGTTTTCCTTTCTCATTCCCAGATATCCAGGAAAGGCTCCACAACCTAAAGATTTCTGGAACTGTGTATCTTCCCACAGAAGTGTCAGCTCGAACTAGGAACTGTCTTAATCATACAACTTAGCTTCACGCTAAATCTACCCGGCCAATATGCCTTCCAGGATGCCTTCTAACATGTCTCCTTCATTCTGATGACTCACAATTACAAACTTAAACATTAACCCCAAGCCCCGACCTCCACTACCTTCTGTACTCTCTCTGATCTGACAGACAGCTTCCTCCTCAGTTCACTGTACCCAACCCTACTAATTCCTCTACTCCCCTAGTTGGACCTTTTATCTTCTATGGATCCTCTCCCATAACTTTTAATTCTTTGTTCTTCTCTTTATGCCACTTACCCTACCATACTGTGATATTATAGTTTATCAGAGAGTGGTTTGGGACCCCAATCTCTGGTAGTGTTAACTCCAGTCTTAACCCCCTTACATATACTTGCACTCTTTGAGAGCAGGTCCCAAATTTCAATTATAGAACATAAGCTCCACAGCAGCAGAGCACATTATTACTCATTGTTGTATCTACTGCCCCAAATAGAGACTGGCACAAATGCTTAACAAATAACTGGTGAGTGGTCGGATTTATCCTTTAATTCTCCATGTGGCCCAGTTCTGCATTTTGTGCATCACTGATCCTTTACATACATTTTTTTTAATCAAATTTACCCAATTAAAAGCTACTTGGATCTAAAACATAGGGTTCAGTATTTTATAAATTTGAGTTATAGGTCACTAAGAAAAACTCATCTAAAGTAGTTCCCTGACCTTTTAAAGCTACATAATAAAGACATCTCTTCCTGAGATGGGACTTTTTCTTTCATGAACTTCCCTAATGAGGCCTAAATCATACCATCTGATTATAGACCAGAGCCAAGAATCACATTTTAAGTTGAAAAAAACTTCAAAAATGCAAACACCTTGTTTTACAACAGAGATCAAAAAAGGTCAAAAGAATTAAAAAGAAAACAAAAGTCATGCTGCATCATAACTTAATTTTTGTGCTTTTCATTTCGGTGTTTTCCCATAACAATCTGTTTTTGAGTACAGACAATGAAAAATGTGAGGAAAAATCATGGCAGAGAATGACCAGATTGGGATATCTTAACACCAAATCTATAGGTATCTGTCTACATAGCACAAAATGCAAAACTATCCCTTCAATATCTCCACACTAGATATAAAGGAGGGAACCATAACTATGGGCTTATTATGCTCTGTTCTAACCAGCTGCGTCAATCTGACGAACAGTAATGGTTGAAAATATCTCCTGTCCTGGAAAAATACTACCAAAATTTTGTAAATGTTATGAACTTTATAGATTCTGTTGTTACAATTATTAGGAAATACTCTTTGTAAATCACTCTCTCACCACTAGTAAGGTAATGGCCAAAATTGTTTTCTTCTTCTCTTTCACTCAAAAAAATTGTACATGCATGTATACATACACATACACAGTTGTATACTAATTTTGGTTATTCAGATGAGATGACATGATGTTGAGATTCTGGTACTTCATGTACAAGATCCCCTTGGAAAATTCCAAGACAAATCTCAGATTATATGAAACTCCTTATTATAGTGAAGTTCCTATGTAACTGAGTAGAATTGTAGACTTACAAAGTCTATAGACATAATTATATTTTTATATTTTATATATTTATATTTATATTTCTTTTAAATTTTCCCTCTTAAATGGAAGCCACTATGGAAATAAAAATGCAGTAAAATTTCTATTTAAAATATTTTTTTGTTCCATTGACTTAATAAAATCCTATTTCTGATATCAACAATATGTGTAATTCTTTCTCATTCATTCTCTACGATCAAGCCTACATGCATACATATTTATGCATATATTATTTATAATTAATCATAAAATGTACTTGAGCTTTCTAAACATTTCTTTGTATCAAATCAACTGACTAAACTTCAACCTAAAGTTTCTTTTCAAAATAGTTTAATAACTTAAAGAAACATTTCAAGTGCCTATGTTGTGACAGAGATGCATTTATTCATTCAACAAATGCTTACCAAAAGCCTTTGTGAATCTAGCCCTGTTGTAGGAACTGGAAATAGATAAGACAGATGGTCATACCTCTGCTATGCTGGGGCATATTTCCTACTGGGGACATGAAAAAGAGAGAGAGAGATGAAAAAAATAACTCTAGGTAGTAACGTGTACAGTGAAAAAAGCACTCTAATGGGACAGTGACTGGGAGTGTGCTCATCTTTAGAAAGGGTATTTCAGGAAAAGAGATATTTGGTTCGAGACCTGAAAGATGCGAAGCCAACCATATAAAGATGAACATTCTGAGTATAGGGCCCAACAATACAATGGTCCTGAGATTTGCCCTACTTGAGGGACAGTAGAGTGAGGCAGGCAAAGAGAAAGGAGCAGGAAATCAAGGGGAGAGATAGGTAGGGGCCAGATCATATCAGACCTTATATGTTGTGAACTTTATTCAAAGGGCAATGGATTACTACTGGAGGGTTTCAACCCTGGTGTGAAATGATCTTATCTAAAATTTAAAAAAATCAGTTTGTCTCCACAAAGCAGGAGATGAGCAGGCAGACCAGTTAGGAGGCAGATGTAGCAGATACAGAGAGAGAAGTAGATAGAGTCAAGCTGTAATTTGGAGGTAAAAATGTCAGGATGTTGGAGAAGAGGGAAGCAGAGGCACCAAGGAAGATTCCTGGGTTAGAAGGTATGTGGTTCTGAACTTGTTGGATGGGGAAGACCATGGTGGGGAGCGGCGGGGGAGGAAATGAAGGCTAGAACACAATCAGATCTCTGCTTTACAAGTATCTAAACATCCAAATAATCATCCAAAGCAGATAGATATACTCAGTCAGATTTTTAAGAACCTCCTTTTGCGATAAGTTAGTGATAAATTATACACCTGACCTTTGAACAATATGGGTTTGAACCATGCAGGTCCACTTACACACAGATTTTTTACAGGATACTAGTATATTGTCTCTTCCCTAAGATTTCTTAATAACATTTTCCTTTCTGTAGCTTAGTTTATTATGAGAATACAATATATAATACATATATAACCAAAATATGTATTAATTGACTTTAAATTATCGGAAGGTTTCCAGTCAAGACTAGGCTCTTAATGGTTAAGTTTTTAGGGAATCAAAAATTATACATAGTTTTTTGACTACCAGGTATCAGTGCCTCAACCCCTACGGTGTTCGAGGGTCAACTGTATGTATACATATATGACTATGGAAATAGAACTCTTAATTTTGGAGATACTAGCATGTAATGGCATTTAAAGCCAAAGAAAAGCTAGGGAGACAATGTAGATAGTGAAAAGAAGAAAGCTGAAGATGAAGCCTGAGGCACTCAAACACTTAACTGTCAGTCAAGGAGAAAGACTCAGGGGCCAAAATGAAAGAGGAATAAACACAGCCTATGTTATTATAAAAATCAGATGAATTAAATGTTTACTGAGGAGAAGTGATATGACTAATTCAGGTGTAGCTGAGGACTGAGAACGGACCAACCACTGAATTAATCAACATGGTGGTCACTGTTATCTTTGAGAACCATTAGAAAATGGATGTTCAACTGGAGAGAAGTGAAGACAAAACGAGAGGGTAGGAGGTAGAAAAAGTATTTTTTTTAAATTGTGCCAGATGTTATTGAGGATAGATAAGTAAATATCGCATGGTTCTTGTTTTCTGAGAAGGTCCTTAATGTGTAAGAAATCTTTCATCAACAATCTCGGAAAAATATGTTTTTGATAAAAAAGGGATTACATTTATATTAAGAAGCACCTTGCAAAGCCTGTTACTATAAAAAAAAAAGAAAAAGCTAAGTTAAATAATATATTTTATTAGGAACACAAAATCTTCAATGCATCAACAATTTTGTCATCAGATTTTGAGATTATTTGTTTACAGACTAAAAATAAATTTTACACATCACTTCACAAGTTAAAATGCTCAAACATTGTTCAGAATATGACTATTCAAGAAAGAACTATAGACATTTTCTTTGTCCTATTTCCAAAATCTTCCTAGACAGGATGTTAGACAGCTACCACATATAATATGTGTGAATTAAATAAGATAAATGTGTCCTTTGCCATAAAAAGTCTGAGATTTTATGTAATTATAGGCATGTGAATGAATAGTTTAGAATAATGCACGACTGTCATCAAATCACATCTTCATATACATGTATAATCCATTTTGCACAATGGTGTCAATTCAGTGTGTATGTAATTAAATTGTAAGGTACAGTAATAGCTGCTGCTGAGTTGAAATCCTGCTTTTTTAGTTTAAAGAAATGAACAGAAAACAGTCTAGTGAACATCAAAGTACCTTTTGAGACAGTTAAATCTCATCAAAGAGGTCTTCTGAACTACTGTTTCTTAGAGTTTCTAAAGACATGTTTTCAGCTGAGCTGTGCTCCTTTTTTGACGTCTCAGGTAGTGGAGGATCAAACCTAGAGTAAAAAGAAAATCAACGGTATTTTATTCTAAAAATGCCATATAGGGTAAAAGAAAATTAAGAGACACAGAAGTGAAACAAAAGTCAAATTCTATTAGAATTGGTTTAGAGACTCATTTCCATATGCTGCTTGAACATAAAAAAAGAGATGAAGAGAATTTAATTTCTTTAACTGCTTTAGGATTAATCTGTCTCTATTCTGAGCTAACAAAAATTCAAGGGCCTACAACAATACTCATAATTAAGGTCAAGAAATAAAATATCCTCTGTGTTGTAAGCCTTTCTATGCCAAGATACAAAAGGTCTATGTCTCAAGCCATTTATTTAATAATCCTATCACAATTTATATCTTCCTTTGGCTCCCTTAAATTCTACCTATTAACATGCATTTGAACCTCTTAATATCAGAAGGTCTAATCACATGAATTTCCTTTAGTGGTCTTTCATTGTAAGTGTATATAACTGATAATGACTTCACATTTTAACAGTTGTTGATGAAATGTTGGCCCACATTTACTTACTGAATTTACATGTATTTAATAACTACATTTTATTCCATTTCAGTACTAGAGTTACTACATTAAGGGGCTGACATCTGTATTTATGTAAATATTCTCTTTGAGTCCTGGGATAAAGGGCATGATGATCCCAGATTGTTAACTGGACTTATAAAACAGTAACCTGCAGGGTAATGGCTCAATCAGAAGGACCCTTGTATAAACCTTGTCAGTGGTTCTTTGTGGAACCTAAATAAAACGTTCTTCATATTGACAATTAGAGGTGGTTTTAGGGGCAATTATGACTAGGTTGTGTCAGTCCACTAAAACTCAGTAATGCCCTCATATTTCCAACTTCAAAGACAGAGGCAGAGTCATAGCAGCTCAGTAGAGCTAAGAGAATGAGACGTGAAGTCAGGACACCTATGTGTGGATCCAGGTCTACTTCTTCTTAGCCATGTGACTTTAGACAAGTCATTTAACCTAACCAGACTTCTGTTTTCTCACCTGTAAAACTGGAATAACAGCTGTCTCAGTGGTGGTCCAAAGATTAAATGAGGCGTCATGTATGAAAATGCTTGTAAATTCCCACAGAACATTTGGAAGCTATTATTAGGGCCTCTAATACTGCATAAATTACCAAAGAAAGAAAGAAAGAAAGAAAGAAAGAAAAAGTTCCGCTAATAGTTTCTTTAATTTGAAAGGCTAACCAATTAAAAATCCCCAAACACTGAGTTTGTTTAGATTAAGAGTATTTAAAAAATCTAGCACCCACACTTGGTCTCAAGAGATTATTAAAAATGAAACGCCACAGGGTCCTCCTTGGCCTCCTGACTGCATACAATTAACTGTGGTTGGCTGCAACGTGTTCTGTCCTATCCTGAGCAAGCCAAGTTCAGAGAACATCACACTCATGGGAATGCCAAGGTGCTAGGTATTAATGCATTATCAAGATGACAAGTCCTCCCTCTGGGAACTTTAATGTTAAAATTAACAATAAATATGGACACAATTATTGTAACATGTAACTAAATACCTAAAAATATATTTCATAGAAGGAGAAAATGATACAGTAGAGAATAAAAGTATAATTATTACATGTATACATTTTCAATGTCAACTCAATACATTTAAACATTTTTCTCTGGCCCAAAATGTCTCAGAGTTGCTTTTTCTCCTTCTGGTAAAATGGAGAATTGATTTTTTTCAAATAAAGTCAGACCTTGAAAAATCTCTAATTTTGTTTGTAGTTTAGAGCCAGAAAAGAGAGATCAATCAGTTTAGTTTAAAAAAATTGGCATAAGACAAAAGGATGACTCTGAAGTGATAAGTCTAAAGGCTATGGATTCCTAGTGCTTCGTTTATGATTCCCATCTCCTTCTAAAGTCACAAGGAGCTCAAGAATTAGACTGACTCTTGTTTTCAGTGTCTAGTACATAACAGATGTTCAACAAATTTGTTCAACGAATAGGGATCATTTTCTACAATTTTTATACCTGTGGTAAGTCAACATAATAAATTTAGAACTCTTTCCACAACTGAAAGAAAAGTTTAATCATCTATATAAGTAATAAATATTATGACTTTTTACAAATTCTACAAAGCATAAAAAAGAAGATGAAAATGTCCAACATTCTATTTTGCATGATTTTTATTTTCATGGTCTTTATTTTCACAAAAATGGGATCATTCTAATATATATAATTTTATTTTTGGAGAATTTTTTTACTCTACACATTAGCAATATCTTTGCATGTTAAGATACTTAGCTACGGGGTCTTTGATATGCCTTTCAAAGAGCATACATTTTTCTTTATCCACATTCACCAAATCTAATTCTCTACTCTCTAATTCCTTAAATTTCTGAAATCTGTCCTCATTCTTACCTCTTTCCTAGAAGTTTTAGGGAGGTCACAAATAAGAACCTAACTAAGAAGAAAGAATAACCTCTTCTCAGTTTATCAGTGTTCCTCTACGCAGAAGTTGATAAATAGGGGGAGGAGCAAGATGGTGGATGAGTAGGAGACCTAAATATTGTCGGGGTCCAGGAATTAAGCTAAATATTTATCAAACCATTCCGAACACCTACAAACTCATTAGGAAATGAAAGAGAAGAGCAGCAATTCTAGGAACAGAAAAGCAACCACTTTATGGAAGGTAGGACATGTGGAGAAGTGAATCCAAGGTGATATATGGGAAGATAGACCATGGAGGGAGGGGCTGGCTCCCCACAAGCAGAGCACAAAATCTGAAGTTTTGTAAGTCTGCTCCATGGAGGGACATAGATCCAGAGGCTAAGAGGGGGATGGAGCCTTCATTGGGACAGTGTGGTCTCACTACCCACGGGGTCACAGAAAGACCAGAAGTGCCTGAGTGCAGCAGAGCACTCAGGTATCAGAGACAGGAAGCCAGCTGCAGAGAAGGATCCCAGTAGTGGGATCCCAGCTTGGGGTTACCTTAAACTGTGATCCAAGGCATAGTGTGGGCACTGCTCTTTAAGCAGGGACACCACAAGACCCCACAAGTCCAGGTCCAGGGAGATCCTCCCCTTCCACCTCCAGGAGGGATGGTGTGGGAATATGCTGTAGGAATCTGCTGGGTATGGAGACTCCAAACAGGGCCGTAGGCCAAAGATAGAAACACTTGGTCACAGGCTGGATGAGCTTGGAGCCGGCCAGAGACCGGGTAGTCCGGAGGGATTGATTGCCTTTCTCTGAGGGTGCACTGAGGAGTGGGGCCCTGAGCTCTCGGCTCCTTGGGCTGGGGATTGGGAGACCACCATCTTCAATCTCATCCTCCAAAGCTGTACAGAAAGCACTCAGGGAACAAAAGCTACCGAAAGCAAACCCGAGCAGATTACTTAGCCTGGCCCCTGGCAAAGGTGGTGCAGTTCCACCTCCGGCAAAGACATTTGAGAATCACTGCAACAGACCCTGCCCCCAGAAGATCAACAAGAACAGCCAGCCAAGACCAAGTTCACTGATCAACAAGAACTGCGGAACTGCAGAGCTAGTGAAATGCAGCACATAGAATTCATGGCTTTCTTCCCCATGATTCCTTAGTCTTTCAAAGTTAAATTTTTTAAATTTTATTTTTTTCTTATTTTATTTAAAAAAATTTTCCTCTTTCCTATTTTAACATTTTTTTGAATATTTTATCTTATCAATACCTTTTTAAAAATCTTTTTGAATTTTTCATTCTTATATTCTATCCCTTCATTCTATTTAACTTTATTTTTTTTATGCACATAAGTTTTTTGTTCTTTAAAATTTTGATACACTTTCTTTTAACAGATGAAAATATACCCTAAATATAGCATAAAGCTTTGTGGCTTTGTTGTAGTCTCCAACCTGATCATATGCCCACCTTTTTTTTTCTTTTTTCAACTAACTTATCAATTCCCTTTTTAGAATCTTTTTAAATTTTCATCTTTACAATCATACTCTATCCCTTCATTGTGTTTACACTTATTTTTTTTTGTGTGTGTATATATATATATATATGTATATATATATATATATATGTATTTTTTTTCTTTCTTTAAAATTTTGGGAAACAGTTTCTTCTAGCAGACTAAAATACACCCAAAATCAAATGTGTGGCTTCATTCTATTCACCAGTCTAATCATGTGAAAATATATATATATATACATATATTATATATATGTATATATATATATATATAAAAACATTTCCTATTCCCCATCTCCTTTCTTCTCCCCCCAATTTTGGGTTTCTTCTGACTTGGTTAGTGCATATTTTTCTGGGGTTGTTGCTACCCTTTTAATATTTAGTTCTCTCATTTATCTATTCTTAACTGGATAAAATGACAAGGCAAAAAAACTCATCTCAAAAAAAAAAGAACAAGAGGCAGTACTGATGGCTAGGAACCTATTCAATAAGGACATCAGTAACGTGTCAGAACTAGATTTCAGAATGATGATTATCAAGATGCTAACTGGGCATAAAAAAATCATAGAAGATACTAGGGAATCCCTTTCTGGAGAATTAAAATCCTTTTCTGGAGAAATAAAAGAACTAAAATCTAACCCAGTTGATATCAAAAAAGCTATTAATGCAGTGCAATAAAAAAACAAAGGCTCTTATTGCTAGGATAAATGGGGCAGAAGAGAGAATCAGTAATACAGAAGACCAAATATGATGGATAATAAAGCAAGCTGCAAAAAAGAGAGATAAACAACTACTGGACCACAAGGGGAGAATATGAGAGATAAGTGAAAGCAAAAGACAAAACAATGTTAGAATAATTGGGATCCCAGAAAAAGAAGAAAGGGGGGGCAGAGGTATACTGGAGCAAATTACAGCAGAGAATTTCCCTAATTTGGTGAAGGGAACAAGCATCAAAATCCAGGAGGCACAGAAAACCCCACTCAAAATCTGTAAGAATAGGTCCATACCCTGTCATCTAACAAGAAAATTTAAAAGTATCAGTGATAAAGAGAAAATCCTGAAAGCAGCTTAGGACAAGAGGTTTGTA